TGTCTGCACATTCTCATCAGGACCTTGACAAAATTTTTCATGCCACGTGGTCCAAACAATTCAACTCCGTCAAACAAAAATAATGGACAGGTAAGGAAATCAATGATTTTAAACTTTTGTCGTCAATAATATCAAAATATCCGTTAAGTCAGAATCAAATTATTACAGAAAATAGTTTTGAAATTGTACGAGTATAAATAATATAAATACTTTTATATTATTTTCTACCACTATAATTTAATTCTTAAATTATGAACTTCAATTTTAGTAATCGTAGTAAAAGAAATAACGGTTAATGTTACGTGTGGTTCCAAAATGGCCGCGCTTCCGACTGTTCCAAGGTCTATATAAGAAGGCCAGGACGCGTGATCTACTTCTTGAGCCGCCATTTTGGGTTTTTTTTGAGTCGCATGTTTTAAGCAAACAAGAATATAATAATATAATATAACAAATTTATAATTATTTTTTTAAAGCACGATTGGTTATAAAATTAAGATGAAATTCAATAGTATTATTAATAAATGTTGTCAATGTAATGCTCATTTTATAATAACTAATAGATGTGTAGATATATTTTTAATTTATAAATAGCTTTCAAAAAATTCCAAAAATAAAATTTTATATTAAATTATTTGACAATAAACTATATATATATATATATATAGGCACGTAAACAAAGTATTCATAGAACTAGTACATTTTGAAGGAAAATAGTACATTTTTTAAGGCGCTTCACTACGTTTTGAAATTTTACTGCGGAAACACTGTTTATCATATTCTTTTGTGGGTTCTTTGATTACATCAAGAAATTCTGATAAAATCTCTCTATCGTCATCATCGTAACTCCCTTTTGACACACTTTTTAAATGTTGAGATACCGAAATTAATTTTAAATTGGTCTTAAACCGGAGTCACTTGTTTTGCACGCACGAAACTAAATACATTTTCTAAGTAGTCTTTGGTGAATGTTAGTAAAAAACGGTATTGTTTGTTAATTAAAAATTCATGTTGCAAAACTAAAATTGATTAAGTCGTAACCAACGATCCAGTTTGGCAAAATTTCCAAATAGATTTATCTCTTTTCCTTCATAATTTAAAACATTTCAATTAATTTTTTAAAAAATGTTATTGATTCTTCATACTTTTGTACTGTATTCATACTTAGAGCAAAAAGTAGATGCCTCGATGTTGCTAATTTAAACCATTTTTCAACAGCATCAATAAACCGAGCGGTTGTTAAATATTTTGATTTATTCACTTCTGAAAAAAAGTCTTAATCTACTGCTTATATCATGGCTGATGACGTGTGTAGATGTTTTCATTTTCATTTTTTGAAAATGTAATGGCAATAAGTCTTCCTCACTTAACTTAAAAGCTAATTTGAAATTAAAGGTTTTTGTTGTTCTAGCAATTCATTTATATGCTGTGATAATATTATATTAGTTGGAAGATTGAATTTTTCTTTCGTTTCTTCTGATATTTTTATAATTTTATTTGTTATTAGCATACTTTTTATATTTTTAAATAAATGTGATACATCTGCAAGCAGATTAATCTTTTTATCTGAATTTAAAGGATGCTTTATGGAATTTACTATTTCGCTGTGACGTTCCATTTTTTTTTCATAATGCTTTGTTGGATGATGAATGTCTGATTTAATGCTAACAACATTTAAACCTAATTGTCCAACACAAGTAATTATTTTAAATAATATATTTTCATATAAACTTCCATCTACAGAATTACCTGTGAAATAGTAAGCTACAACTTCTTTCTATCGTAAAGTAATCCCTCTAGCATAATCACAAATACATGAGTTGCAGTCCCAGAATGTCCAGGTAAAGTGACATCACCAATATATGTGTTAGTACTGCTATCAAACATTTTTAAAGGAATTATTGCCATTTTATCTAACAGAATGACACAATTTTTATCCCGCTCAATTTTCAATAATTTCACTTTAATCTTTAAGAATTCAATGATTTCTCTTAGCATCCCACTTTCAAATTTTAAATTTTGTAATCGTCTTTGCAAAGTTCTGATTGAAGGTAATGAAATGTTTTGTTTTAATAACTCCTCGAATCCTCTAGTTCCACAAGAAAATCTTAATTTCAAAGCTTTTTGAATAGTTTTCATTGACCGTTTCATAAATTTGGTTTTTCTTTTCGTGGCAGATATTTCGTCATTATTAAGAATTAACGATAACAGTTGATACGATTCATTATTTTCTTTGGAGGTTTTTACTTCCTTTTCCAAAATTCCAATTCTATGTTTCAATGTTTTGATAGCGTTTATATGTTTAACATTTTTTTCGCATGCTCTTCTGTGTAGTTGTTTATATATTTTTAAATTCTGTTTTAATATAAATATATCTTCTGAATGTTATTTAGATAATGTATCATGATTTACAGAAATGTCTTTAGCTAATGTGGTTTCTTCTATAAATATTGAAGATGTTTCAAAATTTGTTGATTGTGTAAGAGTCGTACGAGTAGCACGAAATGGAGAAGGAACCTTTGCAGTTTTTACGTGTTTTATAACAGTAATCTGTTGTAATTTGTAATCTTCCTTTTGGTAGTTTTCTATGAATAATTTGTTTTGTGAATGAAAACGAAGTTGAAGTAGCATTATGCTTTAATTTGTTCTTCCCACAACTCTCACTTTTTCCCACATTTGTGGTTCAAAATGAACTTCACAGAAACAAGAATTATTTGTAGTCTTCCAATTCTCTCGGCGCACTTTTTTAGCCCAAATTTTCCTTCGAACAGGATCTCTTGGAAAGCATTTCACGATATATCCTTTTACAGAAGAATTAGAACAACTAAAAGCCGAACATCCAGGCATTATTTTAGCGATATCTGCATAATAAAATTAAAGGATATATTCTAAAACAGGATTCAAAATGGCTTTTATGACATTTTTAATGCATTCTGCAGAATAACAATAGAAAAGTACTTGTATGTAAAAGAACCATTTGTATAATGAATTTTTATATGCCTTCTAAATTGTATTAACGTTACAAATGATATTTTAAATACAGTAATAACATATTACCAAATAAATGTGCAAATGCTGCCTTTCAATTAGGTTCAAAGTACTAGTGTGTCTTTGTATCGTTATTGTACGAGATGTATTAAAGAAGTCGTACGAATAATAGAATTAAATTTGTTTCGAGCAGGATTACAGGCTAATTTTTTAGATACTACAGTACATGTAAATGTTTACTTTTATTTTAAATAATACTTTTCTATAGCAATATTTTTATATGATTAAGATTTGTAACTATTTCTCTTTCATCTATATAATTTATTATGTTCGAACAAAATTACAGTACATCAAAATTATTTCAGTATACTAGACAGATAAGCTTCATTCGCAGGAACATTAATTTATAACGTAATTGAAGTTTAGACTATTTACAAAAATATCACATTTTCGAGTCTCTCTTTTAATCCTTCTTATACAACCACAGATGTAACTGCTAACATGGTTTTTTGAAGAATATTCTTCTTAAAACAAAGGTAAAATTTCTTCAAAAAACCATGTTAGCAGTTACATCTGTGGTTGTATAAGAAGGATTAAAAGATTTTTTAAAAATCTTCATACCTTATATTAAACATTACGTCATGGTGCAACGTAAGCAATGGGAATGCGGGCAAGTTTTCCTCAGAAAAACGCTATACCAGAGACATTATTATGAATCTATGTAGGGAAAAATTAATAATCTCCTCCAAAACTCGATAGGAGCCTGTATCGGTGGATTCGCACGATGTTTCTGATGATTTATGATATTTAAATCTGTTCCAAGATGCTCGGCGACTGTTTCAGGCTCTGATATAACACATTGACTTTCAACAACCGCATTTCCACAGTGATTTCTCATGATGTCTGTGATTTTTTATAATAAAAATTCATTGTAAAATAATTGAAAAGATTTCTGAATGAAAATCTTTTCTGCTATGAATTGAAAAGTTATTGTATATATGAAAATCCTTTCTGAAATGAAGTAAATTAAATGGAAATATAAGCAATTCGTTGGTAGATATTTTGCGAAAGAGTGTATATTTAAACGTTCAATATTCAAATTGTTAATATTGAATAAATTTTAAATCAAAGATTCCACTGTCATTATAAGTATATTACGAAGTCTTATTTAAATATCTGTTACTTAATTTTTAGTTTGTCCGTTAATGCAAAATGACAGAAATAAACTTTGGTTTGATTAAGAAAATATATATTTCTGCACGGTTTTTTTTTCAAATCATAAATGAATATTTATTGAAATTTGAAATCTTTAAATTATAGAAAATAAATATTTTGTACTAATCTGTTGAATAAGCACATAGTTTAACTTTAAACATTATATTGATTTTGTATAAAATCAAATATTCAAAGATTGATATAAGATTTTAAATGTATATGTAAATGTAATGTATATTGTCATGTAATATATTTCAATGTATCACGTGGACACTCGTGCTATCTATAGCAATTTCAATGCCTTCCATATTATTTTCGTCAACTCTACAATCATCGATCTCAATATTAAGTTTTTTAAACCTTCTTGAAGCTTGTGAATAGCTAATGACAGCCAAATGTTTTCCTATTTGCTGTAAATATTTTTTTATAAACCTATAAACAAATGTAAAACTCAAATTCAATATCTGTCAACTGTGAGTGCAATGTAATAACAAAACACGACAAAACACGTGGTTGCCAGATTTACTGTTGACCATTAAGAGGAAGTATTGTGAATGATGATAACTGCGTTGAAAATTCGAAAAACGAAATTTTCCTTAATTTAATATAACTTCTTAGAATCACGATTTTACTTTGAAACTTACTTGTTTTTTGGTTCAATCACTTAAACTTCTTAAAGTATCATATTTAATCAGCAGATCCACATAATTTAAGATGAAAACAACACAATTAAGTACTATAATAATAATTCAAAGCAAGAAAACGATATTAAAATTGACAAATTTTATTTATGTTAATTGAATTCCGAGAGTTGTGAATGGAGGAATAAAAAAATTTACGTTGAAAAATCTTCCTTTTTATGTCGATTACACTTTAAATTTTGTAATATTTTAAAATATTTCCTACTAAATTTACGTATTCTATGTACTGAATGTACTAAATAATACTTTTTCACTTAGATGGAGAAACAATGACAGAGGTAAGTTAATAAGTTCAAATCCAAGTTTGCATTGCCACTATTAGAGTTGTTTTGTAAACAATTTACATTATTCAGATAAATTCATACGAAAAGAAAATGTTTGAAAAAAATTGACAAACAAATGGCGTATTCAGTGCTTCTGAGTAACTTTCTATGAAGAAAATTACATAAAAACACACATTCGTTTAACGAACAATTTTAGTTCTGCATTGTGAGAAAAAGTACAGAAACGTATATTCTGTCGTATTTCTTATTTCACAAATAAATGGTAATGAAACAGAACACATGACAATTTTGCTTTCAATTTAAGTTCTTTGTTTCTCAAAAACAAATATATTTTTATATTTTTGAGAATAACATTTACTCAGTAAACTTTATTTCTTCGTAAACAAAAACATCTCTTAAAATTAATTTTTAAAATGATATATTTGTAATGTTAGTGCTTGTTAATGTTAATGTTAGTGCAACTTAGAAATATCATTATTTCGCGCATAATTTATTAAGTCATAATTTGTTGCGAATGATTAATTATATTTAATTATTTCTTAATTAAAGTAATCGAATAAACGAATAACATACGCAATGATATTTTAAATTGCACCATATATTAGGTTTGTGGTTGTGGTTTATTTGGTTATGGGCACGTGGGCGATCTGCCTAGGGAGAAGCCTCCCAAAAGGATTTCAATGTAAAACTGGATCCTATTTATATGTTAGAAACGTGAAGAAAACCCGGAAATCACGACGTAGGCAGCCCGTTGGTCAGGCGTGAACCCTCCACCAGTGTTTAGTGGTTTTATCCAATAGGCCTCTTGTAGGAGCGCATATTAACTCGGAAACAAACGACTTTCTGCAATAATTGTAACAATAAAGACATTTCGATTTTTTTGCCTCTATGTCCTTACTTTTATTGATTTCTGTTTATATCTTTCTCTACTTTGTCAGGAGAAAACAAAGAGATTTTGTTTTGATTATTTTGACTAAGTTCTCTATTTGATAGACAGAAACTACATTTATTCCATAAATTCTATTAATTAATAAACAAAGTACAAAGTAGACAAAAATAAAAACAAAAATCAAAAACATCTCAAATTCATGCATGGAAATTGGGTTAAAATATACAATCGATAACTAACTACTTTTTCCAGGGAATAACAATGGTTTCTCCAATACTCAGCAACACTGGCAATAGAAGCAGTCCGTTAAGAGCAGCGAAAACCATAATCAACAAAATTATTTTGAAAAATATCACAAAAGTATAGGAAGGTCCAAATGCCAAAACAACGACACCCAAGACTGTAGACAAGCAACCTTGAATTACAGGATATCCCGTGGAGTACAAAGTATATTTAATTTTTTCTTCGGATGATTCCTTCTGGCAACACTTATACGCGTACGCCACGTGAGCCGAAAAATCGATGCATAATCCCGCACTCATCATTAAAATCAGGACCGACATCATATCTAATTTGACATTCCACCAATTCATGTAACCCATTGTCTCTACTAGAATGCAGACGACGTTTAATGACACGCAAACGGTGCAAGAAATATCTTGTATCATCAAGAGGAATATCAGGCTTACTATAAAAACGGCGACACCTACGTTTTGCAAACACATAGCGGGAATGTTCAATAATTGCTCGTAGAGAACAAAAAAACGGTTGTATATGATAACGCGATATTTACTACGATCCGCAATCTGGCGTAAACCTTCTAATAATAATTTCTCATCAGTTCCGGTTCTGACGCCTTTGGACGAAACAAAACATCTTGAAGCTACAATTTGGTTTCTCTCTCTATCCCAAGATAGATCTTTCCGGAATTGAATGGCTGGCTTAAGTCGGAGAAATACTTGTTTCAATCCTTGTACGAAACCTCGTGGATCGCTCGTGTTAAAATCATTCATCAGATAATTAAAGTCGTTATTGTGAATGAAAGAAAGATATTCTCGTATCCAACATAAGGAGTGTTCGCGTCCACTGATATAAGGAGCGTTTTGGACCGTTGTTAAGATGTTCTCTACTTCTTCTTGTACACTGGGATTTGAATAATCTAATGTCTGGTTAAAAACGATCTGTATTACGTGTGGATAATCTGTAAAATATAAATAGTAATTATTTATGCATTTTGTGATTGGAGAAGAATATGGAAAGATTTCTTTTAAGTCCAGTCCTTGTTTCATATCTTTGATGCTGTAAATGCTTCCTGCAATATTGCATACGAACATGAATACGATTAGCATTTTTACTGATTTTCTCCCGAAGAAGGTTTCGAAATGTTTAGAAACGAACTTCATAGCTTTAGACTTCTTCCTGTCTGTCTCGTCTTTTCTGACTTCGGATGTTTCGTTTTCTAAAAAAAAACATACTTTAGGAAATTATTTTACGATTCGTTTGTTATTAAAAGGAAAGTAATTATTTTAAGCAAATTCTGCAGTGTTCTCATGAGCAGTTGTAGATTATAAAGGTTTTAATACAACATTTGCATACAGATAATACAGTTAGTTAGTGAAATTTGGCAGCTATCATTGAACTACTAAGGAGAGTCAATTTTATGACGCCTCGTTTCCCTAGCTTCACAACAATATACTGAACCGCATGACTATTATAATAGTTGATGATAGCTTAAAACGCACAAGTACGTCCACTGGCCGTAGATGTTAGACGCTCGTCGTAAAGTTAAAAGAATGTTATGGTTGAGATCAATGTAAATTTTCAGTAATCGGACAATACTGATGTAGATTTACATGTAGCGCGCGACCAGCTTTCGACGGCTATCGATCGTAGGCTTTGTGACGAATTTTGACCTCGAATATCTCAGCGTATAGAAGTAATTTGAAAATTCCGGTATCGTCACGACATCGGCCATGCTAAGTTGTACTTATTTATAAAAGACTTTTTTTAAGGGTCATGCGGTTGCTTTGAACTTCGATTATAGACAAAACGCTGATTTATAAAGCTTATTCTCCTTATGTACCGCTCAAATATATTTAAATAACTTTACTAGCAAGACAAATTATGAAGAATAAGTTTGTTAATTACTGTTAATTAGATATTCCTTTGTAAAAAGCTGGAAGTAGTAATTCGTTTTGCCTCTATGTCTTTATTGACTTCTTTTGTATCTTTGTCTACATTGGACTTTGTCTATTAACAGGACTTATTACATTGCTGTAGTTTCTGTTTAGCAAATAGAGAAGATATTATTCAGTATAAAATATCATTGTTTCACCTATCTGCCTTTAACTTTTCTATTTCTTCTAGTTTTTTCCTGCTGTTTGCATTTTCCACGTCATTAGAATTTCGGCTGTAGATTATTTAATACTTAATTATTAAATACCGAAAGTGATATTGTGTGGTGTACATTTTCCTAATGCTGCAGGTTATCATTAAATGACAGAAATGTACCTAACAACATCTCCGGAAAAATTGGAGGGAGATTTTTACAATTCTGACAAGATAATGTGCCTGCTGATCGTGCAAAATTAAAGTGGAACTGTTTTTCGCAAATGGTGTGCGTGTTACGAATTGGTCTGATATCTCCTCATCTTATATAAATTCGTTTGGTATATTAGCAAAGAAAGAATATAAAAATGAAAAGCTCTATATATAGTCCAGTAGAATAATTAAAACTGGCGATAGTTGATGCTTGGCAGGAAATCACAGGCAAGAAAATAGTTATTAAATAAATTCCAGTAAGAGTTTACGGTGTAATTAATAAAAAGGTGGACATATTGCTTATAAGTAATAAATAAATTCACTTATGATTTAAATTTTCAAGTGTTTCTTATCATTTTGAAACAATATATTCTATACAAGATTATTAAAATTAATGTACAGTACATGTGTGTTTTCACCGGATACTGGTGTTGGTAGGCCGTTGGCCGCACATGTAGGAATTTTAAACGTTACTTGATATTTTCGTCGTATATGACGTTGGACGGGCACGTACTCCCTTTAGTTTGCGGGATATAAACATCCATAAACAAAATGCTAGAAGCGTTCCATATTTGTTTTCGTGCCAAGTCGAAACGAACCGGAGCTCAGTTCGTTTTCCTAAAAATATATAGTAACGTAATAATGATACGATCTTCGATCCCTAGAGCGGTAGTCTGACGCCTTAACCGTCTGAGCCATCTGACAGTCTCCACTCATATACGCGCACAACATTCTTTGCCTGCACGAAAAAAATAAATTCACACAAAAATATGTACTTACCGAAATGCTTTTCTTTTACTGTGTAACAAAGAATGGAATTAAGATGACGTTCTTCTCTGTAGCCATCGAGCGTCATGAGACTTCCAAAGAAGAAGATCTGATAGATGAGATCGAAAAATACGGACAGAGCGCTGTAGCAGCAAAAAATACGAACGACTGTATAAGGCGAAGAAATTCCAACACAAAACGAAGCAACATTAGTCAAGGAAGTGATGGTGATGGACACTCCCGCTTCGGAAAAAGTATGGCTCATCCTCTGCATCACGCTGTCTTTTGCGTTCGTTCGCCTCCAAGCAGACAACAAAACAAAAGAATCGTCTAGGCCAATACCTACAAAAATCAGTAAGCGTTAATTTTTCGAAAAATTGATTAAGTACAGTACAAATAGACACGAAACACTAGAATAATTTTAAAAATTTTCACGCAGAGTACAGATGCAGATTATTTGAGAAAACACGAACAAACTGTCGTGGTTTAATGAAATTTGAGAAAATAACATTATAAGAGAAACAAATGTGTAATACTTGACGATGCTGTCACAGTGAAGTAATTGAACAACAGTATATCCCACAGAATTTGTTGCAATGTTGACTTAACTTGCGATGTAAATATGATTTGTAATTAATTGAACTTATTTTGCTTTTCCACAATTTTAATACCAGTAAACGTTTTAAAATTGTTTGACACTTTAACAAAGATGATTTTCGTAGTATTGGATTGAAGCAAAAGTTTTTGGAATTTTAAATTTTATGGTACAACGTTACTTTTGAAAGCAAAAAAAAAAATAAAATAAAAAGCATTTACTCAAGAAAATAAAGGCCATTACATTCAACTGCCTTCTTCCGTGCATTGGGCAGGTCACGGTTTCTTGCTGAATAAAACTCAGGCTATTTCTACTGAAAGAACTCTGCATATGATATTTTCACTTGGTCATCAGCGAATCGTTTTCCAACCAAGATGTGTTGCGTGGAGCTAAAGAGACAGTAGTGGAATGGTGCAATGTCTCGTCAATACGGGGAAGAGGGAGAATCTACCATCAGTGATCAACCAGCTTCTATTAGTCAACCTTCAGTGTGGTTTTGCATTCAGATTGTATTGAACTTTAACGTTCATTTTGCAGACCATTCCATTGTCAAATTAGTGACAAAGTACAATGGACTAGTCACAGCTAGGTGTTTGGCTTATGTCTCGCAAGATATCTTGCGACATATGGGGTTGCTTGGCTTCCATCAGCTGCCGCAGCTACTTATCCAGCAGGACGGAAGGTTTTTCTCAGGAATGTTCATTTTCGATTCTTGTCTTATCTTATTGCTTAACTTAAAATTACTAAACTGATCGTTGATTGTATACGTGGAAACGACTTTTCTGTCAAACAGTTGTAATATACCGCGATTAGACCCAGTTGATTCTATACGAAATTCTATACGAAATAGAAAATCGAACATCTATGAGTTTGGTCGTCAGAAATCGTTGGTAAACTTCATGTATCTTTGATATCGCCACAGAAGATGTTTTTACTCGCGATTGTACATCTCAATAACCTTTGTTTTACATACTCCAGAAGATAGTTGGAAATTTTATCCGTCGAAGAGCGATTTCGAATATTCTACAGAAGTCTAAAATTTCCAGAAACTTTTGCATCAATGTAATAGAATTTTGAGTCGACAATTATAAGTCATAAAATAATAAAAAAAATATTTAGAAACTTATCCCTTAAATTTTTCATAATAGCAAATATTCTAAAATTTTATGTACTTACATTCAGAAAATTCTTTACGTAATTACTCTTTGCAAAATAATACAGATGTGTTTACTGATTACTGTATAAAAAATAACTAGAAAACGTACCTGTCAAAAGAAATAGCATTATTATATTGACGTCAGAATATTCCATTCCGCAATGTAGTAGCAAACCGAATGCTGCTATAAGTGCTAAGAAGGGACTACAGCATGCTGCAAATCCAATCCATGGTTTACTTCTGACGTTGTCGAACGTCATACAACTTGCCACAGAAAACAAAATTACTACAGGACCGATTATAAATGTGAGCGGAATGCTCAGTTTTGTGTTTCTGTTAGCTTCGGCATTGACACTGCGAAGAGTAAAGAAGGAAACGTCGATGTGTCGAAATTCCACTCGAGTCACTATATTCAAAAATTCCTCTTCCCACTTTAAAGCTACTCGTTTCTTCTCTTCTGTTCCGAAATCCATAAAATAGAAGAGACGAACGGCCTTGAAGTCCGTGATGTATCCAGTGTCATTAGTTGATACTCCACCTACGTTCATAGCGTTTATTTTTACATCAAAACCTGTTCGTTCTACTGGATATCTAAACACGTAAAGAAGCAAATAATAAAAAGAAATTGTACTCACTTGTCAGATGACATTATTCTGGGATTTTAAATTAATATAGCTAAATGATTGAACTAATTCGGACGTAAGTTCACTTTCTGATAATCTAAATCGTCACAGACGAGATAGTAAAAAACGATGGATGAAAGAATACGATACAAAAACTGTAATTACACGGAAGAAAATAAAGTATGGAATCATTAGTAAACAAATAAGAATAATGTGCAAACAGGCAAAGGAAAGAAGTTAAATCAATCATGGCTGGAAATAGAGCACTACGCAAATGGGAACGACTGATAAAGAGTATACGAAAAGCTAAACTGAATCTCAAAGAAAAAATGAAATGCAGAATTGGAACTCTGAAATTCTCTGGCTGGGACTCAGAATTGGGAATGGAAATAGAAATATTTTATTGCATAAAGATGAACAAATGCTACAGTGAGGAATGATCTGTACGGAAATGAGGAGAGTTTAAACCTAGAAAGAATGGAGGCAAAAGAAGAGAATACAACATTTCTTAAGGATGACATTTATGCTGCATTGAAAAAACCGAGGGACAGAAAGACATCAGAAATAGATAAAATACAAGCAGAACTTTTTAAGGCTATGGGAAAAATGGAACAAGAATCCTAACTAATTTTTGAACAAGGTTTTAGAGGCAGATATTTCGGTTGATTTCACAAAATTTATCTTTATTCCTGTTCTTAAAACTGCGGGTACCTTATACTGTGATAAACGTAGAACTAGTAGCTTGATAAGCCATGCCTCAAAGGTTTTAGTTAATATCATACAGCGAAGAATAGAAAACTACATAAATGGAGGCCTTTACAATGATACGACTGATAGGAAAAAGAATAATTGATTATAATAGAGAGATATTTGAATGTTCGTTGATTTCGAGAAGGCCTTTAATAGTGTTAATCAAACGCTGTTATTTGCGACTCTGCAAAAAATAGATATTGATAAAAAAATTATTGAGAATAATAAATTTTCACAAATTGTAATTTTATCAACACTATCTAAAGAAATGCAGGATTTTTCCTCGTCTAGACTCTAGACCAGGGGTGTCAAACCTTTTTTCTTTCTGGGCTACATTGAAAGAAGTCAAGGAGTTTTGGTCCACAAGTATATATAATATATACTTGTGGTTCAATATTATACAAGTATATTTAAGGAGTAACATGTCTACATTATAATAATAAGTATCAAAACTTTTTTTCAAGAAAAAGGATATTTTAAAAAATTACTTCTACAGACACTTTTAATTTTTACTTAGAAATCGATAAATTCATTTATTAGAAAAGAGTCAAACGAAAATTTATTTGAAAAACATAAATGTTTGTATTATTTGGGTCTCCAATTAATAAAACGCGACGAAACATTATAATAAAGTGCATTTTTATTCCACAAATCTAATATATAATCGAGACGGGTTCATAATGATAATAATAATTAAACAACACGCATTATGGTTACAATATCAGACATGAAAAAACAACACATTTTACACTGTCACATCTCATGTACATGGACGACATAAAACTTTATGCATCCATACAGAAACAACTTCATCAACTCCTACAAATCACACATTCATACACTAAGGACATACAAATGGAGTTTGGCTTAGACAAATGCAAAAAACTTCACATAGAAAAAGGAATCCTGAAGAAAGAAAGTTTTGCACTTGGAAATGGAGATGTTATTGAATCCATGGAAGAGGGCGAGCTCTACAAGTATTTAAAATTCCAACAGGCCAAACAAACAGAACATACACAAATAAAGCAAAGATTAATTAAAGAATACCAAAGTAGGTTAAATGCTATTCTCAAAACACAGCTAAATGCAAAACACACAGTTACAGCAATAAACACATATGTCGTCCCAGTACTCACATACTCTTTTGGAGTTATACATTGGACTCACACAGATCTCGAGCAACTCCAAAGGAAAACAAGAACAACACTAACTAAGCATAAACAACATCATCCTAAATCCGCTACAGAAAGATTAACCCTTCCACGTAAAGAAGGCGGACATGGCCTGATTGACATAGTTAACCTTCACTACAAACAAATACAGTCACTGCGAGAGTTTTTCTACAGGAAACAAGAAACATCACAATTACATAAAGCAGTAACTCTAGCAGACTCAAATAACACACCATTAAACTTACACTCACATCATACAGACTTGACACAATATATAAAAAGCATAGACACCATTAAGCAATCGTGGGCTCATAAGGCACTTCACGGCAGGCATCCTTATGACCTGGCCCAGAATTTTGTTGACAAAACTGCGTCAAACAGCTGGTTAGATCGGGGATGCCTCTTTGGGGAGACGGAAGGATTCATAATTGCCATACAGGATCAGGTCATAAATACTAAAAACTACAGAAAACACATACTCAAAGATACAACACTCACAATGACACATGAAGAAAATGTCACATCATGCCAGAAACTATACAACACATCACTTCTGGTTGCAAGCTCTTGGCACAGACAGATTACTTACGTAGACACAATCAAGTAGCAAATATAATACACCAAGAGCTTGCAAACAAACACAAATTGGTAGACATTCACAAACCATACTACAAGTATATTCCACAGACAGAATTGGAAAACAACACGCACAAACTGTACTATGACAGAGCCATAATTACAGATAAAACAATTTATCACAACAGGCCAGACATCACACTCATTGACAAACACAATAAAATCACATATATTATAGACATAGCCATTCCAAACACTCACAAGGTACAAAATACATACATGAAAAAATTAGCAAGTACACAGAACTCGCCCAGGAAATAAGGCATTTGTGGAGGATGGATAGGGTTCTTATTGTACCTGTTGTTCTCTCCTGTACAGGTGTGATACCACACACACTACACAAAAGCCTGGGAACATTACAATTGAATAGAAATACATACATAACACTACAGAAGACCACTATATTGAATACATGCCATATTGTTAGGAAATTCCTTAATACAGACACTGACACACTTATCTAATTTTAGTTTTGTTTTGGTTGTTATGCCTTGACTCTGGTCCGGAATAGTACACAGCCATCGGTGTCAACCGAGTATAACCCACTAAACACAACAATAATAATAATCATTTATTTCTGTAAGTTTCTGTCTGTGCACTATCCTTGCCCAACTTGTTTAAACTTATTTAATTCTGTTATTAATATTGAATTTAATGCAATAGATAAATTATAATTAAACTAAACAAACCTAAACATTAACTAACTAAAAATTATGTTAAACTTAATAATTTCAACAGTTATCAATGATCAATAATATAAATATAACAAACAGATTATATCTGTTTGTTATATTTATATTACATAAAAATTTGGCTGAGTTAAACTGCATTAACTTGAAGCTGTCTAGAGATCCTGGGCACAGTACAGTGGTACCTCGGGATACGAAATTAATCCATTCCGAAACTGAGATCGTATCATGAAAATGTTGTAAGGTGAATCATTTTTCCCCATACGATTACATGTAAAACCAAATAATTTGTTCCAACACGAAAAACACACTCAAATTAAAGCTAAGTAGTACATTAAAAAAATAACTATAGTAAGGAAAACACTGAAAAATTCATTTTGTAGTTGAAAATGTATAAATAATCATAATAGAATAATAACTTTACCTTTGAGGATAGACAATGGTGGAGGTGTAAACTGGTGGCGGAGGTGAGGGAGAAGGGAAATGATACTAAAACTTAACTTACATAACATAATNTATTTTAAAAAATTACTTATACAGACACTTTTAATTTTTACTTAAATCGATAAATTCATTTATTAGAAAAGAGTCAAACGAAAATTTATTTGAAAAACATAAATGTTTGTATTATTTGGGTCTCCAATTAATAAAACGCGACGAAACATCATTTTAAAGTGCATTTTTATTCCACTAATCTAATATATAATCGAGACGGGTTCATAATGATAATAATGATAATAATAAATTTCTGGTACAAAAAGTTTACATCACTGCACCAGGAACTAGCTGAACATCTAACACACATCATCATCATCATCATCAACCATAAGACATGCCAAAATTTCTTACTTAGGGCATCACCTACATGAAACCTAAAAACAACAATACCACAGACCCCACACAATACAGACCAATTACATGTCTTCCAACACTATACAGATTATTGACATCCTGTATCACAAAGAAAATATACAAACATGTTGTGTTCAACAAATATACAAACATGTACGGCAACCTTTTTGTTGAAGAACACGACATTCTTACAGAATGTCGTGTTCTTCAACAAAAAGGTTGCCGTAGAAATCACAGGAGATGCAAAGAACAATTACTCATAGATTCAGTCATTTTACGGAAAGCACACAAACAACACAGAAACATACACATGGCATATATAGACTACAGAAAAGCATTCGACAGTGTTCCACACAGTTGGCTGCTACATATTCTACACATGTACAAAATACATCCATCACTCATTGCATTCTTCGAAAACACTATGCAGCACTGGAGAACAACACTACATCTCAGGGTTAGTAACACTTCCATACAAACAAACGAAATATTCATTAGGCGAGGAATTTTTCAAGGAGATTCCTTGAGTCCTCTCTGGTTCTGCCTAGCCCTGAATCCATTATCCAACATGTTAAACAACACGCAATATGGCTACAATATCAGACACGAAAAAACAACACAGTTTACACTCTCACATCTCATGTACATGGACGACATAAAACTTTATGCATCCACACAAAAACAACTTCATCAACTCCTACAAATCACACATTCATACACTAAGGACATACAAATGGAGTTTGGCCTAGACAAATGCAAAAAACTTCACATAGAAAAAGGAATCCTGAAGAAAGAAGATTTTGCACTTGGAAATGGAGACGTTATTGAATCCATGGAAGAGGGCGAGTTCTACAAGTACTTAGGATTCCAACAGGCCAAACTAACAGAACATACACAAATAAAGCAACGATTAATTAAAGAATACCAAAGTAGGTTAAACGCTATACTTAGAACACAGTTAAATGCAAAACACACAGTTAAAGCAATAAACACATATGTCATCCCAGTACTCACATACTCTTTTGGAGTTATACATTGGACTCACACAGATCTCGAGCAACTCCAAAGGAAAACAAGAACAACACTTACTAAGCATAAACAACATCATCCTAAATCCGCCACAGAAAGATTAACCCTTCCACGTAAAGAAGGCGGACGTGGCCTGATTGACATAGTTAACCTTCACTACAAACAAATACAGTCACTGCGAGAGTTTTTCTACAAGAAACAAGAAACATCACAGTTACATAAAGCAGTAACTCTAGCAGACTCAAATAACACACCATTAAACTTACACTCACAACATACAGACATGACACAACATATAAAAAGCATAGACAACATTAAGCAATCATGGGCTCAAAAGGCTCTCCATGGCAGGCATCCTTACGACCTGGCCCAGGATTTTGTTGACAAAACTGCGTCAAACAGCTGGTTAGATCGGGGATGCCTCTTTGGGGAGACGGAAGGATTCATGATTGCCATACAAGATCAGGTCATAAATACTAAAAATTACAGAAAACACATACTCAAAGATACAACAATCGCAAATGACACATGCAGAAAATGTCACATCATGCCAGAAACTATACAACACATTACATCTGGGTGCAAGCTCTTGGCACGGAGATTATTTACCCAGACATAATCAACTAGCAAATATAATACACCAAGAGCTTGCAAAGAAACAAATTGGTAGACATCCACGAACCATACTACCAGTATATACCACAAACAGTATTTGAAAACAACACGCACAAACTGTACTATGACAAAGCCATAATTACAGATAAAACAATTTACCACAGCAGACCAGACATCACACTCATTGACAAACACAATAAAATCACATACATTATAGACATAGCCATTCCAAACACTCACAATGTACAAAACACATGCACTGAAAAAAATTAGCAAGTACACAGAACTCGCCCAGGAAATAAGGCATCTGTGGAGGATGGATAGGGTGCTTATCTTATTGTACCTGTCGTTCTCTCCTGTGCAGGTGTGATACCACACACACTACACAAAAGCCTGGGAACATTACAATTGAATAGAAATACATACATAACACTACAGAAGGCCACTATATTAAATACATGCCACATTGTTAGGAAATTCCTGAATACAGACACTAACACACTTATTTAATTTTAGTTTTTGGTTGCTATGCCTTGACTCTGGTCCGGCATAGTACACAGCCACCGGTGTGAATCGTGTATAATCCACTAAATCCAACATAATAACAATATGCGCAGAGCCCAAACTGTTAGGAGTTGAAAGTTGAAATTTCGTACACAGGGTACGTCACGAAAACGCACACTTAGAAGGGATTTTTCGAAATCCCCCCGGGGGAGAGAGACTGAATTAAGTTTTTCGACAATGGAAGTGTTAATTAACAATGGCTGTGTTAACAATGGAAGTGTTAAGTAACAATGGCAGTGTTAACAATGAAAGTGTTAAGTAACTAAGTAATTAAGTAATTAAGTAACAATGGCAGTGTTAAGAGAAAGCGACCTGCAAGATTTACAGGCGCAGATGCAGTTTTTTGTTTTTGCAGGAAATCGAACATTTTTTTAACCCATCTAAAAATTCTCTAATTAGTCTGGAAACAGTGGAACCTAATTCTTGCATTCTTTGAAAACGGGCATGATTGCCTATAACGTAATAATTTTAATCTTAAAGGCCCCGCTTTGCTCCGGCAAAAGTAACGATAGCGAAGTAGATGCAACCGTTGTACACTAGTTAGCGTCTGAACCACAGACTGCTGCGAACAGTTTTCTCGATTTACTTATCCCATCACTTTAATCATAACGATAAAATGGTTAAACATATTCGAAATTGCAAATTTTGATGTACAGTAGAGCGTCGTTTATCCGAAAGTCGGTTATCCGAAACATCGGTTATCCGAAGGAATTCCAGTCTGCAAATTTAAATTTTCGCTAGTGCTGTGGCGCTGCAATCTTTGGCTATATCTTGGGCTACTCCAATATTTTTTTTTGTTGATGTGTGTTTTAGCTGGCAGCATGGCAGTTTTGTGTGGAGTTTTTCTGAGGACCGTGTGTCGTGCTGAATTGAACGTTTTTGATACTAGATCATCTTCTAAAGTATATATTTATTTTGTTTGCAAGAAATAAAGATATAATTTTTAACGATACAATAGCCACGATTATTATTTTAAAAAGTATACGTTAGGCTTAACATCAACGAAAATTTAACGCAAAGCTACACGCAAAGGAGAAAAATTTCAACATGGTATAGGCTAATATATTTTTTCGTACATAATCGGTTATTCGAAAAATAAGTTATCCGAGCAACCCCAGTCCGAAATTGATTCGGATAAACGACGCTCTACTGTAATTACAAATAATTCTTTACAAAGATAGTCTTACCTCATGGAAACCTTTCCAGGATGTTTTATCATGTATTTCAAAGAAGAAACAAAATTCTCCGAGCATTCGTTACGATCATTCTTCATACAAATATCTCGGTAACTGTAGAATTTTTTATTCCAAAAGATGCTGATGTTGCGAATGATAACATCCATCTGGATTAAATCTTCTATCGAAGAGGTGTCCATAATAGAATCGTTGTTCTTCGCCGAGGCAATGACCGCAATTAAATTTTCGAATGTGGAACTTCTAATTACTCTATCTTCGGCTCTGTCGCCGTTAGAAAACAGATTCTCGATGGATTTTCTATCTTCCGAAACTCTCGCGTTTCTCGGACTGTACAGATATTCGAAATCCTGTATCATGGAAATTTTGAGAAGTCCGGATCCTAAAATCACTGTAACCAACAAGGTGGCAGCGATGCAATGTTGAGGATATTCACCGACAAATTTGCCGATTCGAGAAAACCAAGAAGATAAATGAGAGTCTAAAGTCTTCATTCTTTTTCTAAAAAACAGTAAGAAAAATTAGTATATTTGTTATTTGATTTTATCACGTTATTCGATCACTTAACATGGGACTAATCGCTGTTTGCAATTTAAGCACACGTCTCTGACAATAATGAAGGAGATAATTGGTTTACTGTGTAGATTAGGGGTGCCCAACCTTTTTGTTTCTCTGGGCTGCATTGGAAGAAGTCAAAGAGTTTTGGGCCAAAAGTATATATAATATATATTTGTGGCCCAATATACAAGTATATTTAAGGATTAACATGTCTAGACTATAAATATAAGTATTAAATCTTTATCACGAGAAAGGATATTTTAAAAAATTACTTCTTCAGACACTTTCAATTTCTACTTAGAAATATATAAATTTATCATAAAAATATTATAAAAGAGACAAACAAAAATTTATTTCAAAAACACAAATATTTGTTCTATTTGGATCTCAAATTCATAAAAAGAGACGAAACACCATTTTAAAGTGCATTTTTATTCTGTTAATTAAATTCAGTAATTCTTTTCTTTTAATTCAGTTAATTAAATTCAGTAATATATTTATAAATAATATGTAGTCCAAAAAGCAGCCAAAGCGACAAATGGTGTTTTTTACTTCAAATTAAAAAGTAGTAGGCACATTTGGCGCAATGTAGCCAACTCTTGCAACGCTGGAAGAAATACTAAATAAAGCTGGAGTTATGATTCAAAAGATTATAGACCCAAATGCGGGGAAAAGAGAGAAAGGACAAAAGGTAAGATGTGAGAAAGGTTGGAAAATTAAGGGTCGATATTTGCAAAATAAATCTATTTAACCTTTCTGACTACTTTTTATCTTTCGTCCTTTTCCTACTTTTTCCAAATTTGGGTCTATAATTCTTTGAGTCACAACTCCAGTTTTATTTAGTAATCTTTCCCCATTCATACATCTCCAAGTATTTGAAAATATCAACATTTCCTTTCCACTGAAAAATAAAATATAAACAAATATTTACGGCTTTGTGAAACTTCTTTTTTGAGATTATGCCGTTGAAATAAATAAATAATAAAAAGATTAAAACATTTGTCAGTTTTGTTTACACGTTTATTGGGCCGCATTAGAACTTGCCTTGGGCCGCATGCGGTTCGGGAGCAGCGGGTTGGACATTCCTGGTGTAGATCCATAAATTCCAACTCTCGTCCGTTGTCCATCTGCCTGTCTTTTTTTAATCTCGAGAATCTAATTAGATGGATGAAAGATGAGACCACATTCGGAATCCTTAGGGGCTGGAGGCCCCAATCAACTATATAAGATTTTTCAATGCAAACCCAAAGTCACGTTATTTTGATTCAAATCGTTTCTCTCGAAAGCATTTCAAATGACCAGGATTGTTAAAAGAAAAGTACGATGTACAGTACAATACAGTACAGGGCAACACACTACTAATTTCAGATAGTGAGCATATATTTCAATTATGTAAATTAAAAATATGATTAAAACTTGCAGCTCGGCATTATGACGATATCACAATAAATAATTGCTCTTTAAAAATATAAAACTTTAAAAATAAAAATACAGTGGGTGATCGGTTAACGAACATAATCCGTTCCAAGACTTTGTTCGTTATCCGAATTGTTCGTTAACCGATCACCCACTGTATTAATATGTTTAATATTAAAATATCACTACAGATACAATTAGATAATATTTCCTTGATTATATAATATTCCAATACAGATATATTAGATAATATGATGATAATAGAAAATTAATTATAGGAAATAAATATGATTTACTTTCTTTTTGCACCTCTCCTACTACTGTCGGTAACGTGACGCACAATAAGTGAGATGTCGTATGGAAAAATGAATACGAGTAACAAGTTAGACACGNTTTTTACGTCAAATTAAAAAGTAGTAGGCACATTTGGCGCAATGTAGCCAACTCTTGCAACGCTGGAAGAAATACTAAATAAAGCTGGAGTTATGATTCAAAAGATTATAGACCCAAATGCGGGGAAAAGAGAGAAAGGACAAAAGGTAAGATGTGAGAAAGGTTGGAAAATTAAGGGTCGATATTTGCAAAATAAATCTATTTAACCTTTCTGACTACTTTTTATCTTTCGTCCTTTTCCTACTTTTTCCAAATTTGGGTCTATAATTCTTTGAGTCACAACTCCAGTTTTATTTAGTAATCTTTCCCCATTCATACATCTCCAAGTATTTGAAAATATCAACATTTCCTTTCCACTGAAAAATAAAATATAAACAAATATTTACGGCTTTGTGAAACTTCTTTTTTGAGATTATGCCGTTGAAATAAATAAATAATAAAAAGATTAAAACATTTGTCAGTTTTGTTTACACGTTTATTGGGCCGCATTAGAACTTGCCTTGGGCCGCATGCGGTTCGGGGGCAGCGGGTTGGACATTCCTGGTGTAGATCCATAAATTCCAACTCTCGTCCGTTGTCCATCTGCCTGTCTTTTTTTAATCTCGAGAATCTAATTAGATGGATGAAAGATGAGACCACATTCGGAATCCTTAGGGGCTGGAGGCCCCAATCAACTATATAAGATTTTTCAATGCAAACCCAAAGTCACGTTATTTTGATTCAAATCGTTTCTCTCGAAAGCATTTCAAATGACCAGGATTGTTAAAAGAAAAGTACGATGTACAGTACAATACAGTACAGGGCAACACACTACTAATTTCAGATAGTGAGCATATATTTCAATTATGTAAATTAAAAATATGATTAAAACTTGCAGCTCGGCATTATGACGATATCACAATAAATAATTGCTCTTTAAAAATATAAAACTTTAAAAATAAAAATACAGTGGGTGATCGGTTAACGAACATAATCCGTTCCAAGACTTTGTTCGTTATCCGAATTGTTCGTTAACCGATCACCCACTGTATTAATATGTTTAATATTAAAATATCACTACAGATACAATTAGATAATATTTCCTTGATTATATAATATTCCAATACAGATATATTAGATAATATGATGATAATAGAAAATTAATTATAGGAAATAAATATGATTTACTTTCTTTTTGCACCTCTCCTACTACTGTCGGTAACGTGACGCACAATAAGTGAGATGTCGTATGGAAAAATGAATACGAGTAACAAGTTAGACACGTGTACGATGTGTAAAAAAACACATTATTTACGTTTTTATAATTTTCATCAGTGTTTTAGATATCGAACCCAAAATAGACAGTAATAAGTAAGTCAGTTTTATTGTCAATGTTTAAACGTACTATAATAAATGCTAGTTTGTCTAAAACATAAATATTACTTTAATTATTTTTCTTTTATTGTACCCTCTTTGTATTAAAATATATATTAAAATAGCGTCATTTTTTCCNTAAGTTTGAGAAATCCGGATCCTAAAATTAGTGTAACTAAGAACGTGGCAGCGATGCAATGTTGAGGATATTCACCGACAAATTTGCCGATTCGTGAAAACCAAGAAGATAAATAAGAGTCTAAAGTCTTCTTCATTCTTTTTCTAAAAAACAGTAAGAAAAATTAGTGAATTTTTATTTGATTTTTATAACGTTATTCGGTCACTTAACATGGGACTAATCGCTGTTTGCAATTTAAGCACACGTCTCTGGCAATAATGAAGGAGGTAATTGCTTTACTGTGTAGACTCATAAATTCCAAATCTCGTTCGTTGTCCGTCTGCCTGTTTTTTTTTTTTAATCTCGAGAATCTAATTAGATGGATGAAAGATGAAACCATATTCGGAATCTTTAGGGGCTGGAGGCCCCGATCAACTATATAAGAACTTCAATGCAAATCCAAAGTCGCATTATTTTGATTCAAATCGTTTCCCTTGAAAGCACTTGAAATGACCGGAATTGTTAAAGGAAAATTATGATGTACAATACAGTACAGGGCAACACACTACTAATTTCAGGTGGAAAGCGTATATTTTAAATTATATAAATTAAAAATATGATTAAAACTTGCATCTCGGCATTATGACGATATCACAATAAATAATTACTCTTTAAAAATATAAAAATATAAAACTTTAAAAATAAAAATATTAATATGTTTAATATTAAAATATCACAACAGATAGCGCTACACACACAGTTTTAAATGTTTTCGGGAAAGTTAAGCAACTAGTTCATGGATTTTTATAAAAGATTGTTGTTTTATAGATATTATGGCACGAATACAGTTCTAAACTTCCAGCTTGTTCAAACGAATTTTATAAATAAAGTAATTAAAGTTATTAAAAATCGTTTCTGATTTATCGTGAAACGTCAAGAGGAACGTTAATAAATATTTCTTCACATTTATTTTAAAAATATAAACAAAAATAGAATTGCAACTTCTAAAATTTCAGAAATTTCAATATTTTATAAACTTGGTTATTAAGAAGGAAACAAGTTGTTCTATATTTTATCGAGAAACAATATAAAGTTGCCTATATTTTGCTGTTTTAACATACGAAGATTAAACAATCTAGATAAGGTATGCAATTATTTACCAAGAAATTACTCACTATTGTAGGTCCTCCGTAAATACCAGATTTGTTTATAGTTAACATTTATAGATAGAAAGACGGGAAAATATAATTAATGTAAAGTACTTTAACTATTTAAAACAGTTTATATATTACTTGCTTCACTTGTCTTTGTCATACAGTGATATGAGTAATTATACTTGATCCAGTCGGCAGGATTATGTGTAATTTCCTCTACTGAGATTTTAAATAACATAATCTCTAGTNAGTTGGCGCCAGTATCAAAGAAATCACTATAGGGTAACGACAACCTGAGTCATCGATATCGTTGAAGTCGACGATCGAGCCGTTGATCCATCGTGGAGTCTGTGTGTTGGCTGCCGCCGTGTATCACTGCCGTGCCGCCAATCCAACCGCAGGATTATGTGTAATTTCCTCTACTGAGATTTTAAATAACATAATCTCTAGTTTGAGTTTTCTTATTATTGCATCTTAGAACTTTACGTACATAAGAATTGCGTATGAAATTATGTACTATACGTAATATTTTAAAATAAGGTATTAGAGAAGTAGGGGAATGCGGGGGAAGATGAGAGTAGAAGAGAGCATATTTTTAAGTGTTTGAATTTTTATTCAGTCAGCGCAATATTTTTAATAAGCTATTTATAAAACAAATAATAATAAAATTGTTGATGACAATTAAAGTTAAGATTATAGCTATATGTGTAATATATTTTCTATTGTTCCGCTTTTTTTATACCGAAAAATCAAGTGCTTCTTCTATATTACCTATTTAGAAAATTACATATTTTGAAGGGAAAAAATGACGCTATTTTAATATATATTTTAATACAAGGAGGGTACAGTAAAAGAAAAATAATTAAAGTAATTTTTACGTTTTAGACAAACTAGCATTTATTATAGTACGTTTAAACATTGACAATAAAACTGTGTTTATTTTCTTCTGACTTATTACTGTCTATTTTGGGTTCGATATCTAAAACACTGATGAAAATTATAAAAACGATAATAATGTGTTCTTTTTACACATCGTACACGTGTCTAACTTGTTACTCGTATTCATTTTTCCATACGACATCTCACTTATTGTGCGTCACGTTACCGACAGTAGTAGGAGAGGTGCAAAAAGAAAGTAAATCATATTTATTTCCTATAATTAATTTTCTATTATCATCATATTATCTAATATATCTGTATTGGAATATTATATAATCAAGGAAATATTATCTAATTGTATCTGTAGTGATATTTTAATATTAAACATATTAATACAGTGGGTGATCGGTTAACGAACAATTCGGATNTAAATTGTCCCAAAATTTTTTATGGCCATTACAGTGTTAATACGTAAATAATTATGGAATAAGATATAATTACATCGTGTTAAAATAATATATTTTTATGTAAAATTGTAATTTGTTTTGAGATCTCTAGAAGTCTTCATCAAACATGAAAAGATTAAATATTTATAAAATCATAAACAATAGGCAATGTTTTCGTTTTCTGTTTATTTTCATTATAAAAATTTATGGATGACAAAACAAAAAGAAACCAACAACTAGTTGCTTAACTTCTTCGACACATTTTAAACTGCGGGTGTGAAGCCGTTATGATGTTTTATTGTTAAAAAGTTCATATATTTTTTATTATTATAAAAAGCTTAATTTTCAGAGCAGGGATGCATTTACTAAAAAATTGTTATACTCTTTGACAGAGGGATATGCAATTCAAGTATTTTACCCCAATAAACTATAATGTATGTTGTTTTAAATATACAGAAAAGAAAACAAAGTCATTACTTAGCAATTTGATAATGTAAGAATACAAATAGTTTGTCGTAAAAATGTCTTACCTGCAGAGTTCTACGATTGACGCAACAAAATGTAATGTGTATTGGAAAAATATGAAAGGAACACAATAGATAATTTCCTTGTATAACAAATGTTCTTGAGAACTACGTCGTTATTACAGTTTATGATAATGATTTCGAAAACAAGTTTTTTTCTCATGTAATAAATCTTCACAAAATATGAATATGCAAGTTTTTATTTCCCGGAGGGAAATTCTAATCGAAAAAATTCCCATGCATTAATAATTTTCAAATAAGTAGTAGACAGACGAATGAAATTAAATGAAAAAATTCAACATCTGCTCTTTTCAGTATTCTTAATATTTTTTCAGTAATAATTAACTTTTCTATGTTGGATTTCAAGAAAATTATCATTTAATTGTTAAAAATATTCATGGCACAAACTCAAGTTACTTTTTCCTCATTGTAATTTATAGTTTCATATATTATCTGTATTGCAATTTTATAGATAAGATAATCGAAAATAATATAATATAGTAGAAAGTAGCACGCATTAGTTGTCGTGTATATTTGTACTCGTGTGTGAAATACTTTCATCTTTTATTANACGTAATATTTTAAAATAAGGTATTAGAGAAGTAGGGGAATGCGGGGGAAGATGAGAGTAGAAGAGAGCATATTTTTAAGTGTTTGAATTTTTATTCAGTCAGCGCAATATTTTTAATAAGCTATTTATAAAACAAATAATAATAAAATTGTTGATGACAATTAAAGTTAAGATTATAGCTATATGTGTAATATATTTTCTATTGTTCCGCTTTTTTTATACCGAAAAATCAAGTGCTTCTTCTATATTACCTATTTAGAAAATTACATATTTTGAAGGGAAAAAATGACGCTATTTTAATATATATTTTAATACAAGGAGGGTACAGTAAAAGAAAAATAATTAAAGTAATTTTTACGTTTTAGACAAACTAGCATTTATTATAGTACGTTTAAACATTGACAATAAAACTGTGTTTATTTTCTTCTGACTTATTACTGTCTATTTTGGGTTCGATATCTAAAACACTGATGAAAATTATAAAAACGATAATAATGTGTTCTTTTTACACATCGTACACGTGTCTAACTTGTTACTCGTATTCATTTTTCCATACGACATCTCACTTATTGTGCGTCACGTTACCGACAGTAGTAGGAGAAATGGAAAAAGAAAGTAAATCATATTTATTTCCTATAATTAATTTTTTATTATCATCATGTTAAAAATATTATTGTTTCTAGTGATTAAAAATTATAAAATGTTTCACAATAATTCACGTGTTTCATATTATCAAATACAGAAGGATTTTTAGTAATGTGTGTTCACATCTCTCGCTTTATCTTATATAGAATATAGAAAAAATATTAAATTGTCCCAAAATTTTTTATGGCCATTACAGTGTTAATACGTAAATAATTATGGAATAAGATATAATTACATCGTGTTAAAATAATATATTTTTATGTAAAATTGTAATTTGTTTTGAGATCTCTAGAAGTCTTCATCAAACATGAAAAGATTAAATATTTATAAAATCATAAACAATAGGCAATGTTTTCGTTTTCTGTTTATTTTCATTATAAAAATTTATGGATGACAAAACAAAAAGAAACCAACAACTAGTTGCTTAACTTCTTCGACACATTTTAAACTGCGGGTGTGAAGCCGTTATGATGTTTTATTGTTAAAAAGTTCATATATTTTTTATTATTATAAAAAGCTTAATTTTCAGAGCAGGGATGCATTTACTAAAAAATTGTTATACTCTTTGACAGAGGGATATGCAATTCAAGTATTTTACCCCAATAAACTATAATGTATGTTGTTTTAAATATACAGAAAAGAAAACAAAGTCATTACTTAGCAATTTGATAATGTAAGAATACAAATAGTTTGTCGTAAAAATGTCTTACCTGCAGAGTTCTACGATTGACGCAACAAAATGTAATGTGTATTGGAAAAATATGAAAGGAACACAATAGATAATTTCCTTGTATAACAAATGTTCTTGAGAACTACGTCGTTATTACAGTTTATGATAATGATTTCGAAAACAAGTTTTTTTCTCATGTAATAAATCTTCACAAAATATGAATATGCAAGTTTTTATTTCCCGGAGGGAAATTCTAATCGAAAAAATTCCCATGCATTAATAATTTTCAAATAAGTAGTAGACAGACGAATGAAATTAAATGAAAAAATTCAACATCTGCTCTTTTCAGTATTCTTAATATTTTTTCAGTAATAATTAACTTTTCTATGTTGGATTTCAAGAAAATTATCATTTAATTGTTAAAAATATTCATGGCACAAACTCAAGTTACTTTTTCCTCATTGTAATTTATAGTTTCATATATTATCTGTATTGCAATTTTATAGATAAGATAATCGAAAATAATATAATATAGTAGAAAGTAGCACGCATTAGTTGTCGTGTATATTTGTACTCGTGTGTGAAATACTTTCATCTTTTATTAGTCTGCATTAATAGAAAATGTTTTTCATGACGAAATTTATAAACATATGAATTATCATGTCTATATTTAATAAATGTAAATATTTTATGTAATTTCGAGAAGGAAATATCGCTATATATGTAAAGTTCCTTTGTCCCGTCCTTCTATTTTCGAGGTCATGCACGTGGTCCGCTCTTTCTGACCTAGAAGCTTCTGTGTTGATTTTCTATTATTCCACGTCTGTCCTTTTGTTTCAACCGCCTCCGGCTTTGGAAGTCCAACCGAACCTTTACATAAATTCGTGTTTTATATACACAAAAACTAAATTTTAATTAGAATTAAGAGCTCTACTCCTGAATTGTTTTGTAAATAAGCTTTAACACAGTTGTATACGTAAACGATTGGCATTATTCGAAATTTCAGTAAAGTATAATTTTTCGAGGAGTAATATTTAATGACTTAATTATTTTGAAGACAAAATTAGCAGACTATATACAAGTATGAACGGTTCACAATGGAAATGCAAAGCAATTGTAAAACATTTTAATTTTATTCATGACTTTATTAACTAAGTTTATCTCTAAATGCATTTTATACTTGTAAAGCCCTAACTAAGCACTTGTTATTATTCTATATACATAGAATTCTTTTTATAACAAACACGAACAATTTTATTTTCCTCAAATTCGTTAATTAGGAAATTTCCATGAAAAAAGAATATTTATCGTTAGTTTTATATCATTGCAATGAAAAAACCTCTCTTTTAAATCACTCGAGATTGATGCCGATAACATATAAATAATATAAATTCATGTGCAAGTCTATCAAATATGAATAAAGAAAAGTTGCTTTGAGGTTATTGATCCATTATTATATAGAAACTTATGGAATGATAAACAGGTATACGACGATATGACTTAAATTTTTGTTGCCGATTCAATTCTGCTTTATATCAATATAAAATAATGTTAAATTCATAAGATAAAAAGAAAAACTCGAGACTACGTAATTTAAACATTCAGACCAGAAAATTACACATAATCTCCTGATTATATCAATTATACGTGTAGTTATTGCTCTCTCTTTCTATGATAAAAATCTCAAGACAAATTAAAAGTAAGTAATATAAAAACTGTTTTAAATACAGTAGAGCGTCGTTTATCCGAATCAATTGGGGACTGGGGTTGTTCGGATAACCGATAATGTACGAAAAAATATAACCTATCCCATGTTGAAATTTTTCTCCGTTGCGTGTCGCTTCGCGTTGAATTTTCTTCGATGTTAAGCCTAACGAAAACTTTTTAAAATAATAATCGTGGCTATTGTATCGTTAAAAATGATTTTTTTTTAATTTCGTACAAAAATAAATATATTGAAAAATATAAAAACCAAAAAAATATACTTTAGAAGTTGATCTAGTATCAAAAACGTTCAATTCAGCACGACACACAATTCTCAGAAAAACACCACACCAAAGTGCCAGTGCTGCCAGCTAAAACACACACACCAACCAAGAAAATATTGGAGTATTCCAAGATATAGCCAAAGATTTCAGCGCCACAGCACTAGCGAAAATTTAAATTTGCCGACTGGAATGCTTTCGGATAACCGACGTTTCGGATAAACGACGCTCTACTGTACTCGAAATACTTTACATCAAGGGTGTCCAACCAGCGGCCCGCGGGCCGCATGCGGCCCAAGGCAAGTTCCAGAGCGACCCAATAAACGTGTAAACAAAACCGACAGATTTTTTAATTTAATTTTATTTATTTATTTATTTCAACGGCACAAATTCAAAAAAGACGTTTCACAAAGCAGTAAACCTTTATATATATTTTAGTTTTGAGTGGAAAGGAAACATTTTCAAATACTTTGAAATGTGTGAATGAGGAAGGTATATTAAATAAAGCTGAAGTTGTGACTCAAAGGAGTATAGACTCAAATTCGGGGAAAGGAGAGAAAGGCCAAAAGATAAAATGATAATGAGAA